AAAATTAAAAAGAATCCATTGCTGAAAAGGAAAGATTAGCATGTTGGATTTATTTTTTATTTTAGTTTTCAAAATACAATAAAAAATCCCAAATTACTCACGTAACCTAATATATAGCAGTAGTGTTAGTGTGTGCCTCTGTTTTGCCTCCTTTTTACTCACATATCTATTTGTTTCACAGTTTGGACAATGGACACCACCAATTGCAAGAGAATGGCGAGAGATTTAGGTGAAGATTTGGAGTCAGAGATATTGGTGAGGCTGCCAACAAAGTCATTGATGCGATTTAAGTGCGTTCAACTATCATGGAATGCACTTTTTAGAAACCATAGATTCGTGATGAACATGTGCATGTCAAAAGAGCATATCATGGTGTTTGGAGTTAAGAAGAAGAAGAAGAACCGTCACGCATCACTAACATGCGATGACCCATCACAACCACCTCTGTATCTCAATTGCTCTTTCCCCAACAAAAGCTTCAATTTCCACAAGTCATACGGTTCTTGCAACGGTGTTTTTTGTCTTGGTGTGTAAGTCAAACACGTTTATCGGTTAATTTTGTGGAATCCTAATACAAGAGAGGTCAATCTTATTCCCTTTCATTCTCAGACATCTGAACGCTATAGTCAATTTTATTGCTTCAGTTTTGCACTACAAAAAAGTGTCTCATTTGTGGAGGTTGTTTTTTGGAGGTTTATAAAACCCCCAATATTTATGTGCCATTATCAGAGCACATCACGTTGTATTTCCATTTTTTATTAGTTTTTATAATTTTGTGGCACGCTTTCACCTCCAGAATAATCACCACCTTCCATCTGAGGCATATCCATTTTTATATCATTTTCCAACAATTTTCTAGAATAATGTTTATTACTCAGCTTTCTTCTATGTCACCTTATATGCATTCATCGGTGGATGTATTGATAGATTATTTATATACTTTTCTGTTTATAAGTGAGAGGAAAGTTAAATCTGATCGAATTAAGGCCTTTCCTTTACTATGGTCTACATAACTGTCAAAATCTTGATATGATATCTTCTTGTGCCATCAGGTTCTCCTATTTTTGTCGTGCCTCACTGGATTATATAGTAAAATGTGGGAAGCAGCTTGATGTAGTGCATCTACATAACTGCAAGACAACACTAACACACAACTTGTCAATACTTTAAAGGTGTTCTCTTTAATCTTTTCTCTGACTCTTAATCTCTATAACAATTTCTGATAACAATGCTGCATAAGTAAGAAATTAAGATTTTCTGTAGTTTTAAATTGTCACTTTTCCTTGTAAAGCTTTTTTGGAGAAGTATTAAAATATTGTATTCTTAATTTGGCTAATGAAAATAAATCATACCGGTTGGTTCCAAAAACTAAACTTTTCAAATTTGTACTCCATTCTTATTTTAAACTTCTAGATACCATTGAAAAGTCATTATCTTCACAAAGCTTTTCCTTCTTAGTATTATTGCTATGCTGTAGATGCATACATAATGGTTGACCTTATAAAATGATGGTATTGGTGGTATTGGAAGGTTTTTCTCCATAATATATTTGCTTTTATTATATATCTCCTTAACATTTTGATGGTATTGGTGGAATATACATGTATATGCTGTTATAGAGGGGCACATTAAATTTTTTATGGCAAACGTATATGCTGCAATCCAATATTTTGCTGATTAATTTTCTCATGGGGACTTGAAACTTGATCCTTCATGCCTATGTAACACTGTACTACAAGCTTGTAAGCTTGGATTTATTAGTTTTATAATTGATGTCTCCATATAGTTCTGTTTAAGAGGATAGGTTTACAAATTCCAAACTCATGTGGTATGGAAACTAGCCTGAACCCATACATACACTTTCCAAAGTCCTAAGCTTATACCGTCCTATTAGATGAACTTTCTGCATTTTTTATATTACAAAGATCTCTGTAACGAACACAAGTATTTTTTAAAAGTAATTACTTTATTCAGTTTAGTACTCTCCTCAGGTGCTCTAAATTTCTTGCAGTAACACATTCCTTACAAAGTGGCAAAGAAAATCAGTATATGCAATCAGTGTAATAGGACTTATGATTTCGTGAAGCACTGTGATTATTATTGGCAAGCATTAACTTGCTCCTGATGTAAGTAATGGACTATGAGATCTTTGTATATAGAAAAATGAATGGAGTATGAGTAACTTGTAACAGTATACTGCATAGAATTTATCTCCTTGCCATCAAAGCACATTGAACTCATGTGATGCATATGATAGGTTAATCCCCAGACACATCAATTAAAGGTGTGTGATTTTGGGAGCACAAAGATGTTGGTAAATTCCGTTTTCTACTGAATTTGAAGATCTTTTGACTGGATGTATCTGAGCTTATGATAGATATTATTGCATTTTTAGGTGCTTGGTGAGGAATTGCTATGGAGAGCTTCAATGTCTGCAAAGATATCTGAATACCCTTTGATCGAGTTCCCAAGGTGGCTTTCATGTTCTTGACAAGGGGTCCTGTGTTTTTGGCACCTTTGTGGGAACAATTCTTCAAAGGGCACGAAGGGAGCTACTCAATTTATGTGCATTCCAATCCATCTTACAATTTATCGAATCCGGAGAGTCCAGTGTTTCATGGTTGGAGAACTCCCAGTAAGGTTAGTTTGTTTCTTCTTAAGTTACTTGTTTCATATAATATCGTTCTATTGCCTTAATATGAATTATGAAAATTGTTATTGCTTGGATAATTAAGATGAGGCATAGGGTATAGTCCTATTCAAATGTCTTGTTTATTTGTGTGTAGCTATGTAAATTGCTTAACAAAAAGAACAAATAAATAAAAACCAATCAAGAGGGAAAGGGGAAAAGGAAAATAGAACACAGAACAGAACAAAACAGATAGACATTTTATTGTGAAATAAAATTGAACTTGTAACGTTGGAGTGTTCTTCAATAATTTCCAAAAAATAAAAGGATCATTACAAACTCATCCCACTTGAATTGCCATTCGGCAATCCCATATATTTTAACATTTAAAATGGTAGCTTGTGAAGCCCAAAAGTAAGGCACCCCCATCAACGTGTAACGGCCCTGCTCCTGTATTTGGGGGGAAATTACTAGATTCAGTGGATCCCAATTATTAAAAGGATAGTGATATTTTACTTTTTTAATGTTAAATTTAGTATGTCATTTCAATTCCTTTATGGATTAACACACTCTATTTGTTTTGAAAACCAATTAAACCTGTAAGTTTTTATAGCAGTGGGTTTTTCTAGTTCTTCACAAAGGATATGACTTGTGTGGTTGACAGTGCAAAGAGCACCCTGAGAAGCCACTCTACGGAGGAGGAGTTTTGGTTCGTAGTTCTATATAAAAAGTGATTATACTCTTTTGGTTCGTAGTTATAATAAAAAAAGGGCTTGCAGCTTGTGGCGGTCTATCCCCTCTAGGAAGTAATAACAAAAAAAGTTAAACATATTGCGGGGGTCTGAAACCTTCAGAAAATACAACATTTGTGGAGGTCTTAAACCTCCAAAAACCACACTAACAATTTGTGGCATTGCACACAAAGACGCCACAAAATGTGTTGTGGCGTAGGTGAAACTGAAGGTTAATATGAATGCCACAAATATCTTTTGTGGAGGTCAAAGACCTCCACAATTTGTAAATATAACCCCCACAAAATAACTAATTTTTTGTAGTGTCGATCCCATCACAAATGACTTCAAAGTTGTCATACTCATCCAAACACGTCATTATCCTCCTTGTTATGGATATGAATATCATATCCCAACTACCTATCAGAATATCTGGTGAGATACAGAGTCATCAACATCTCAACAACTCCAAACAGCCAAAGAGCACAAGATAAGGATCACATCCCAACAGAAGGGGAGTTGAATCCTACTACAATTGGGGAATCTCAAAAGGCCCAAGCCTAGGAAGGTAATCCTATAAATAAGAGCATAAGGACCCCAGGTAAACACTCAGAACTCATTTACTACTTCTGCCCACGCTGTGCACATACCCACCTCTTGGCTATAAGCCTATTGCTTGTGCGCAGTGATTGAGACCTCGGCTATAAGCCTAGTATACAGTTGATATACATTATCTCTGAGCGCATACCCTACGGTATAGCAATACGGTCTATCCAGGACCTAACATTGGCGCCGTCTGTGGGAACGATAAAATTCGAATCCCATTCCACGATGACGAACACACGTTCGACGTCCAGCAACGTCCAAGTACCGCGACACCAGCTCGCAACGGAGCCGTTCCAGACAACTGTGTCACCCGTGCTGGTAGACGTACAGGTCGAAGGGGTCGGCCTTCAGGGGCCGACTCCCAGACCCCAGCCAGATGCAGCAGCGGCTGCAGTTCGTCCACCTCCACACAACGAGCCACCAAACTTGACACGCATGGCCATGGGTGCAATCCTTCAGAGGTTGCAAGAGATGGAAAACAGATTCCTGACCCAGCAACGAATGGATGCCCAAAGGATGGCGACATTGGAGGCGGAGCTGAGAACTCAGAACGCTGAAGACTGACCTGGAAGGACAGGACAGGTCCTAAACGTCGGACCCCAGCAGCAACATGCTGAAGGCGTCCAGCATCAAAATGCTGAAGGTGTCCAGCATCAGAATGCTGAGGGCGTCCAACGTCAAAATGATGAACGCGTTCAACATAAGAATGCAGAAGACCTCCAGCATCAAAACGTTGAAGATCGACCTGGAAGGCGCAACCATGCTGGTGATGGAGGACCGCGGCAGCAGAACGCGGCTACAGTCGAAGGAACACGCAGAATGTGCAGAACCTTAACCTCGGCAACAACCGGAATGGTGGAGGTCCGAACGACAATCGGGACGAAAATTATCTGGAGGATGAAGAGGCTAATGATAGCCCATTCACTAGGAGGCTTATGAACTTGGCCATACCGCTGAGATTCAAGAGCACCAGGATACCTCCATACGACGGAAGTCAGGACCCAAAAGCCCATTTAGAGGCTTTCAAAACCGAGATGCTGTTCAACGGGATCACTGGACCTATTAAGGCCAGGATCTTCACGACGACATTGACTGGTCAAGCGATGACCTGGATAACCAGGCTCCCTAGGAACTCAATCGACTCGTTTGAGGACCTAGCTCGGACTTTCCGACTTAACTTTGCAACAAGCAAGGTGCATCCGATGCCAGCCTATGCTTTGGGAAGAATCCGGCAGAAGGAGAACGAATCGTTGAGGAAATACCTCGATCGATTCAAGGATGCCGCCCTCAAGGTTCGAGGTTTAACTGAAGCAGTGCACCTCCACTTAATCATTTCGGGATTAGATGGGGACTCCCCATTGGCGAGGTCTATCTATAAAAACCCGGTAAACGATCTGGAGGAGTTTAGACAAAGGTCGGACAAATACATTGACGTGGAAGACATGCAAAAGGTCTATGTCGAATCTCGAGGACGAAGCCCGACACGTCGGAGCCCGAGTAAGAAAAACAACAAAGACCGGGACCAGAAGGGATCCAAAAAAGCAAAGGACACTCGCAATAAGAGGTCGGAAGATCGGTCACCAAGGAGGAAGTATGACGACTATACACCTTTGAACGTGTCCAGATCCAGGATATGGAAAGAGGTAGCTCAAACCGAGATGCGCAATGTCGAGAGACCTCGACCCCTCAAAGCCAAGTTCGGTATAGATAGAAACAAATACTGCGCCTTCCACGATTAAAATGGTCACTTTACGGATGACTACTGGGACCTCAGAGATGCAATTGAAAAGCACGTCAGAGAGGGGAAGTTGAAACAATATATCATCCGAACACAGGGCAAGAAAAATAATAAGCGAAGGCAAAGAAGCCGGAGCCGAAGTCGAAGCCCGAAGAGAGAGGATAGAAAGGATAAAAGAAGAGACCGACCTGCCAAAGTCAAAGAGGTCGACGACAAGGACGAGGCTTTTCCTGAAGCCGAATTCGAATGCAACGTGATAAATGGAGCTCTAGGTGGGGGAGGAGACTCGCCTAACGCCAGAAGAAAGTACCTAAAGGAGGTCATCTCTGTAAGAGATAGGCCGACCTTCAAAGGGAAAGACAACAAACCTGCACCCCCAAGACTGTTCTTCACTCAGGAGGAACTAGCAATGGTCGTACCCGGACACACTGACGGATTGGTGATCACTGGAGTGCTAGTCAATTGCCGAGTGAAGAGAATCTTTATTGACCACCGAAGCTCAGCTGACATAATTCTCTGGGATGCTTTCCAGAGGATGAACCTGGATGAGAAGGACTTGAAACCATGTGTCACCGAGCTGGTCAGGTTCAACGGAGCGGCGTCCCCTCCAAAAGGCTACATCGACCTAAAGTTGACCTTGGGCACGAAGGACTCGTTCCGAGCTGGAAGGGTTTGTTTCGTCGTGGTGGACACCTCGTCTTCCTACAACGTGATCATTGGCCGGCCTACAATCCATGAATGGGATATGCTGATCTCCACTAAACATCAAGCATTGAAAATGCCTGGGATGAACAATGAGATCGTCACCATAAGAGGTGATCAAGAAGAATCAAGAAAGTGCTACTATGAGACTCTACGAGTCCATCATGGAGGTCCATCATCTCCACCTCGGCTTAAAGAGGGAGGAGTTAAGGACCAATCATTGAAGGCTTGTGGAAGCGAGGTCAACTTGGTGGAACTCGACGTGAGAGAGGAGCTCCTAGCACCTCGTCCAGAACCCCAAGGAGAGCTGGAGGATGTCGATATTGCAGAGAACGACAAAGGGCACACCAAGCTGGGAAAAGGCCTAGATGCTGACTTCAAAGAGGAACTGGTTTCCTTCTTAACGGAAAACCGCGACGTATTTACGTGGAAAGCCTCGGAGATCCCAGGAATATACCCAACTTTCTGCTGCCACAAGCTCTCCATGTACCCCAGATCACAGCCAGTGTCCCAAAAGAAGAGGAAGATAGGATCCGACTGACGTCAAGCCTTGAATGAGCACGTCGACGAGCTGCTAGAAGCTGGATTCATCAGGGAAATACAGTATACCACTTGGCTGTCTAACATGGTGATGGAAAAGAAACCAAGTGGGAAATAGAGGATATGCGTGGACTACACCGACCTCAATAAGGTCTGCCCAAAGGACTCATACCCCATGCCGAACATCGACCAGCTAGTTGACAATTCGTCAGGATTTCAGCTACTGTCATTTATGGACGCGTACTCTGGGTACAACCAAATCCCACTGCACCCTGACGACCACGAAAAAACTGCCTTCATCTCTGAGAAGGGAAATTTCTGCTACAACGGCATGCCTTTCGGTCTCAAAAATGCAGGGGCGACATATCAGCGGATGATGAACCACGTTTTTTAAGGGCAAATTGGGAGAAACCTAGAGGTATACATCGACGACATGATTGTCAAGTCGTTGCACATATCGACACACATAACCGACCTCAGGGAAACTTTTGAGCAACTGAGAGCTCGCATGATCAAGCTGAACCTGGCGAAATGTGCTTTTGGGGTACCAGCTGGAAAATTTCTGGGCTTCATGCTTACCAACCGAGGAATAGAAGTGAGCCCCGACAAATGCAGGGCCGTCCTTGAAATGAAGCAGCCCGAAAGCAAGAAAGAAATCCAACAGCTCACAGGACGTCTTGCGACCCTGACCAGATTTTTGCCTATATCGGCAAAGAAGGCTTTGCCTTTCTTCAAGCTCCTAAAAAAGGAAGCCGAGTTCGGATGGGGAGAAGAATGCAAAAAGGCATTCAAAAATATTAAGAGTTGCCTGGCCACCCCTCCTGTACTGTCGAAATCAGAGCCCAGAGAAACGTTGATCTTGTACTTATCAGTGGGGGAAGAGGCCATCAGTGCCGCCTTGGTGCGGGAGACAGACAAAGCACAACAGTCGATCTACTTTGTAAGTCGAACCTTGCATGGTTCTGAGCTTCGTTATCAGAAGCTTGAAAAAGTTGCATTTGCCCTGCTTACCACAGCAAGGAGGCTCCGACCTTACTTCTAGGGTCACCGAGTCATTGTGCGAACAAATCAGCCAATTAGGCAAGTACTTCACAAGCTGCACCTAGCTGGAAGAATGATCAACTGGGTTGTCGAGCTCTCTGAGTTCGACATATCATATGAGCCTCGGCAGGCGATTAAGTCTCAAGCACTGGCCGACTTCATCTTGGAGCTAACCCCGTCCAATGAAAAGGAAAAAAGGAATGAAGATCTCTGGACAATACATGTCGATGGATCCTCGAACTCTAAGGGGAGTGGAGCTGGGGTGATCGTTGAGACCCCGGAAGGAGTGTCCATTGAGCATCCACTTCACCTGGCATTTCCGACCTCCAACAACCAAGCTGAGTACGAGGCGTTCATTGCCGGGATCGTACAAGCGAAAGAACACGGGGCTAGAAAGATAAAAATCATGAGTGACTCGCAGCTGGTTACCTCACAAGTTGAGGGAAAATATCAAGCCAAGGGTCCCCTCATGATGAAGTACCTCCACAAAGTTAAAGAGCTGCTAGCCGAGTTTGACAAAGGGCTTCAAGTTTAAGAGCTCAGCCTCAGCCTTGAGCTCCAACTCAGCCCAGTGAGGGGCTTCAAGTTTAAGAGCTCAGCCAGAGCCTTGAGCTCAGCCCAACGAAGGGCTTCAAGTTTAAGTGCTCGGCCACGACCTTGAGCTCAGCCCAACGAAAGGCTTCAAGTTTTAGATTTCGGCCACGGCCTTCAACTCAGCCCAACAAAGGGCATCAAGTTTAAGAGCTCGGCCATGGCCTTGAGCTCAGCCCAACAAAGGGCTTAAAGTTTAAGAGCTCAGCCTTTGCCTTGAGCTCCAACTCAGCCCAACGAAGGGCTTCAAGTTTAAGAGCTCGGCCAAAGCCTTGAGCTCAGCCCAACGAAGGGCTTCAAGTTTAAGAGCTCAGCCTCAGCATTGAGCTCCAACTCAGCCTAGTGAAGGGCTTCAAGTTTAAGAGCTCAGCCACGACCTTGAGCTCAGCCCAACAAAGGGCTTCAATTTTAAGATCTCAGCCTCAGCCTTGAGCTCCAACTCAGCCCAGTGAAGGGCTTCAAGTTTAAGAGCTCGGCCACGGCCTTGAGCTCAGCCATAGCCTTGAGCTCAGCCCAACGAAGGGCTTCAAGTTTAAGAGCTCGGCCACGGCCTTGAGCTCATCCCAACGAAGGGTTTCAAGTTTAAGAGCTCATCCTCAGCCTTGAGTTCCAACTCAGCCAAGTGAAGGGCTTCAAGTTTAAGAGCTCGGCCACGGCCTTGAGCTCAACCCAACAAAGGGCTTCAAGTTTAAGAGTCAGCCTTAGCCTTGAGCTCCAACTAAGCCCAGTGAAGGGCTTCAAGTTTAAGAGCTAAGCCAGAGCATTGAGCTCAGCCCAACGAAGGGCTTCAAGTTTAAGTGCTCGGCCACGACCTTGAGCTCAGCCCAACGAAAGGCTTCAAGTTTTAGATTTCGGCCACGGCCTTGAGCTCAGCCCAACGAAGGGCTTCAAGTTTAAGAGCTCGGCCATGGCCTTGAGCTCAGCCCTACAAAGGGCTTCAAGTTTAAGAGCTCAGCCTTTGCCTTGAGCTCCAACTCAGCCCAGTGAAGGGCTTCAAGTTTAAGAGCTCGGTCAAAGCCTTGAGCTCAGCCCAATGAAGGGCTTCAAGTTTAAGAGCTCAGCCACGACCTTGAGCTCAGCCCAACGAAGGGCTTCAAGTTTAAGAGCTCGGCCACGGCCTTGAGCTCAACCCAACAAAGGGCTTCAAGTTTAAGATCTCAGCCTCAGCCTTGAGCTCCAACTCAGCCCAGTGAAGGGCTTCAAGTTTAAGAGCTCGTCCAAAGCCTTGAGCCCAACAAAGGGCTTCAAGTTTAAGAGCTCAGCCATTGCCTTGAGCTCAGCCATTGCCTTGAGCTCAGCCCAACGAAGGGCTTCAAGTTTAAGAGCTCGGCCACGGCCTTGAGCTCAGCCCAACGAAGGGCTTCAAGTTTAAGAGCTCAGCCTCAGCCTTGAGCTCCATCTCAGTCCAGTGAAGGGCTTCAAGTTTAAGAGCTCAGCCTCAGCCTTAAGCTCCAACTCAGCCCAGTGAAAGGCTTCAAGTTTAAGAGCTCGGCCAAAGCCTTGAGCTCAGCCCAACGAAGGGCTTCAAGTTTAAGAGCACGGCCACGGCCTTGAGCTCATCCCATAGAAGGGCTTCAAGTTTAAGAGCTCAGCCTCAGCCTTGAGCTCCATCTCAGTCCAGTGAAGGGCTTCAAGTTTAAGAGCTCAGCCTCAGCCTTAAGCTCCAACTCAGCCCAGTGAAAGGCTTCAAGTTTAAGAGCTCGGCCAAAGCCTTGAGCTCAGCCCAACGAAGGGCTTCAAGTTTAAGAGCACGGCCACGGCCTTGAGCTCATCCCATAGAAGGGCTTCAAGTTTAAGAGCTCAGCCTCAGCCTTGAGCTCCATCTCAGTCCAGTGAAGGGCTTCAAGTTTAAGAGCTCGGCCAAAGCCTTGAGCTCAGCCCAACAAAGGGTTTCAAGCTTAAGAGCTCAGCCTCAGCCTTAAGCTCCAACTCAGCCAAGTGAAGGGCTTCAAGTTTAAGAGCTCGGCCACGACCTTGAGCTCAAACCAACAAAGGGCTTCAAGTTTAAGAGCTCAGCCTCAGCCTTGAGCTCCAACTCAGCCCAATGAAGGGCTTCAAGTTTAAGAGCTCAGCTAGAGCCTTGAGCTCAGCCCAACGAAGGGCTTCAAGTTTAAGAGCTCGGCCAAGGCCTTGAGCTCAGCCCAACGAAAGGCTTCAAGTTTAAGAGTTCGGCCACAACCTTGAGCTCAGCCCAACCGAGGGGTTCATGTTTAAGAGCTCAGCCTCAGCCTTGAGCTCCAACTCAGCCAAGTGAAGTGCTTCAAGTTTAAGAGCTCGGCCAAAGCCTTGAGCTCATCCCAACGAAGGGCTTCATGTTTAAGAGCTCAGCCTCAGCCTTGAGCTCTAACTCAGCCTAGTGAAGGGCTTTAAGTTTATGAGTTTGGCCACGACCTTGAGCTCAGCCACGACCTTGAGCTCAGCCCAACGAAGGGCTTCATTTTTAAGAGCTCAACCTCAGCCTTGAGCTCCAACTCAGCCCAGTGAAGGGGCTTCAAGTTTAATAGCTCGGCCACGGCCTTGAGCTCAGCCCAACTAAGGGCTTCAAGTTTAAGAGCTCAGCCATAGCCTTGAGCTCAACCCAACGAAGGGCTTCAAGTTTAAGAGCTCGGCCACGGCCTTGAGCTCATCCCATAGAAGGGCTTCAAGTTTAAGAGCTCATCCTCAACCTTGAGCTCCAACTCAGCCCAGTGAAGGGCTTCAAGTTTAAGAGCTCCGCCAAAGCCTTGAGCTCATCCCAACAAAGGGTTTCAAGTTTAAGAGCTCAGCCTCCGTCTTGAGCTCCAACTCAGCCAAGTGAAGGGCTTCAAGTTTAAGAGCTCGGCCACGACCTTGAGCTCAACCCAACAAAGGGCTTCAAGTTTAAGAGCTCAGCCTCAGCCTTGAGCTCTAACTCAGCCCAGTGAAGGGCTTCAAGTTTAAGAGCTCAGCCAGAGCCTTGAGCTCAGCCTAACGAAGGGCTTCAAGTTTAAGAGCTCGGCCACGGCCTTGAGCTCAGCCCAACGAAAGGCAGTTTAAGAGTTCGGCCACAGCCTTGAGCTCAGCCCAACGAAAAGCTTCAAGTTTAAGAGCTCGGCCATGGTCTTAAGCTCAGCCCAACAAAGGGCTTCAAGTTTAAGAGCTCAGCCTCAGTCTTGAGCTCCAACAAAGGGCTTCAAGTTTCAGAGCTCGGCCATAGCCTTAAGCTCAGCCCAACAAAGGGCTTCAAGTTTAATAGCGCGGCCACGGCCTTGAGCTCAGCCCAACGAAGGGCTTCAAGTTTAAGACCTCGGCCACGACCTTGAGCTCAGCCCAACCAAGGGGTTCATGTTTAAGAGCTCAGCCTCAGCCTTGAGCTCCAACTCAGCCAAGTGAAGTGCTTCAAGTTTAAGA